CCATCCTCACCGCCACGGCCTCGCGCTCCTGGACGCCGACGAGGAAGGCGGCCGCGGCGCCGACCGCGGTAGTAGACGCGCGGTCCGCGAGCCAGCAGTGCCACCCGGCACTCGCGCGCCTCCACGGCACCGTCCGAGCACTCAGGGCATGGTGCGGCGCCGCGCGGAGCCTCCTCCTCCTCCGGCCACGACCTCGCGCTCCTGGACGCCGTCCTGGCCATGCTCGGCGACCTGCTGGCCACGTGCGCAGGCCGCGGCGGACCTCCACGACGTCGACGCCGACCAGGTCCTCGACGGCCTCCTCGTGCTCGCAGACCGGCGCCCGACGCGGGGACGGCACGGTGGTCCCACATGTGGTCCAGGCGCTGGTCCAAGAGCAGCCGGCTGCGCCTGCGGCTGACGACGACGCTGGTCCGACGGTGGACAAGCACTTGACGGCGACGGGCTCGGGAGGCCCCACAAACTCGCACCGGATGGTGTTGCTGGAGCCGGTGGAGGGACGGTGGGCGCCGCTGCTGCCCCTGTCGTGGCCAAGCAAGAGCGTCCCCTTCTTCTGCCAGGTGGCCGCTGTGGACGGCGCCAGCGAGCAGGGGAGGAAGCGGTTGGTGGTGGTCGGCGGGTGGCACCCGGAGACGTGGGCGCCGACGGACGCGGTGTTTGTCTACGACTTCTTGACAGGCGCGTGGCGGCGCGGCGCGCCCATGCCGGGCCTGCGCCGATCCTTCTTCGCCTGCGTGGCCGTCGGCGGCGCCGTGTACGTGGATGGCGCGACGACGAGAAGAACGCCCTACGGTCGGCGCTCGCCTACGACCCGGACGCCGATGCGTGGGCGCAGCTCCCGGACATGGCGGAGGAGCACGACGAGCCGCGTGGCTCTGCGTCGCCGCCGGGGGAGGCGGCAGGTTCCTCGTCGTCGACGGGTACCCGACACAGGCGCAGGGCCTCGTGGTGCGTGACGGCGTCGCAGGAGCGGCGTCGGCGTGGCAACCGGTGGCGCATGTGCCCGAGGACGCGCGCACTACGGCGACCGTCTCCGCCATACCGGACGACCGCGTCGTGGTCATCGGAGAGGGAGGGATTGAGTCGATGACGCGTGGGCCCCACATGTCACTGAGATGGAGGTTGCGTGTCAAAACCGCTCAACGTCGATCGAAACAGCCTTGCCCCCGGCCAGGTACTAAAAATGAACGGTTTTGACAGTTGGGATACCGAATTAGACCGACACAATAGTTGAGGTGCCAAAAGTTGACTTAATCCATTGCTAGAGCCTAGAGGAATCTGTTAAACTAAAACAGGATCTCTAGGCATAGAACTAGTATGTCTACTTACACTTGGATAAACCGTGAGTCCTAGAACATCTATTAGTGCAGTAACAGTAGATAGAACGAGAAAGAGAGGGGTGAAGGGGTGCGAACCATCGGCTGCCTTGGAGGAAGATGGGCTCGCCATCGCAGTGCTTGGCGATAACCCGGTGGCGGTGTCGAGTCGAAGGGCGGCGGTGCAGTAGCGGTCGCAGGGTAGCCCCGGCGTAGTAGCAGTCCTCCGGTGTGATGCAGAGGTGGTGGCAGCGCTTTCCGTCGCTGGTAGCGCCCTCTCTGTGATCGGTTATGGTTTAGGACTATAGGTGGGGTGCTAGACGGCTCAGACGAACCTCGTGACTCGAGCGCCCCGGCCCCCACCTACTATTTATGACGCTGTGCGACGAGAAGCTACCAACCATATTAGGGTTGGACGCCCCGATCAGGACGCAGATCCAAGGACCCAGTATGGTGATCAACTAACATAATCCAATAATTTTGCAAATTGCACTAAGAAATCATGGGCGATAGCGTACCTCCCTTCAACCCCCGTCGGGTCCTCGTCTATAACGTAATCCGCGAGAAGTGTTGTCCGAGACTGGGCTGCGGCCGGTGCCTCGTCATCGTCGGCCTTCCGATGCGGCGTCGAAACCTAGAATACGCCAATGCCACCGTTTGGGCAGGACGCGAGCGAGGCAACGCCGGCCACGGCGGCTTACGAGGTGCGGAGGAGACCATGCCGAAGCCTGACCGGAGCCGCTGGTGCGACCGCGTCCACGTCAGGAGCCGCCGCTTCTGCGGCTGCACCGTGTCGACCTCGCCGCCGCCGCACGCGCGCTTCCACTTGGCGCCAGGCGAGGGGAGGAGGGCCGCGACGGAGCCTGCGGACGCGCAGCTGCGGCCACTCTCCTCCTTCCGGTGGCGAGTACCGGGTTCCGGGCGCCCGTCGACGTCCATGTAGTCCTCCATGGCGGCGGCCCGGGCGGCGTCCCTGTCGACGTCCATGTCGTCCTCCATGGCGGCGGTCCGGGCAGCGGCCAGACTGAGGACCCTGACGAACATGTCGAGGTCGCTGCCAGGCCCCGCCAGGCGCTCGAGCATCTCGGCGGCGCTGCAGATGAAGAGCGCCTTGAAGCCCGCGAGGAAGCGGCGGGCGGAGCTGGCGACGGCCATGGCGCGGCCCGCAGCGTCGAGAACCTCCTGCCCCCGCAGCCCCTCGGATCGGAGCAACTGCAGGCAGGCCGAGAACGACTCGTCCCGCACGGCCGCTTCCGCGCCGCCCTCGGCGGCGGCGTCCACCCGCGAGTGCGCCGACCAGTTCGACTTGATGTAGCCGATTAAATCGGCCAGCTTGGCCGATTCGAGGATCTCCATCTTCAAATCGAGCTGGAGCGGCACTGTGGCGGCAACGGCAACTGTTTTTCTTCAATGCTCAATGAGGCGGCGGCGGCAGTCTAGGGGACGAGATGGACTTCGCGGAGCATGGCGTCCGCTGGAAGCCTGGAAACGTGGCCGTCACATTCGGGCAACATCCAGTATTTCTTTCCCCAAACTACCCCTGGACTATTCTTTTTCCCTTCCCAACTCAAATCAAATCTAAACAAGACCCAACTCAGGACAGTAATACAAATACGGATGGTTTTGATCACGAATACAATTAAATATAAATCAAATGTGGGACGAATAAGATGCGAATAATGCCAGTCACAATATTTTTGAGATATTAGGTAGAAGTAATATCAATTTTATTTTGTGTTGTACAAATTCGATTGCTCCATCTTTTACATTTCATCTAAAAGTTATTGATCCATAATAACATCTTTATGTTCCAATGTATAGTGTTCCCAAACATTGATCTTTGATTCTAATATAATAAGGGGCTTACAAAGGATTAAGACATTCTACGAGGGGGGCACAAGAGCAACCAGGGTGCAGCAAGCAACGTTCAATATTTGAGAATTCAGGCTAGGTAGTTGTTCTTTTTATATAATTATAGCTATTTGTATGTTAGTCGGATATTTTTTCATATTGGTTGAATATATACCCACCTAAAATGTCAGATATCAAATATGAATTCAGGCCCCGTTCGGCTTACCCCATATCCAGCTTGTTCGGCTTCTTTTTTCAGCCGGAACAGTGTTTTTCTCTCACAACATTTCAGTCAGAACAGTATTTTTCAGCAAAATTCAGCCAAGATTTAGCAAGCCAAACGAGACCCGTTAAATCGTATTTGTATTTCATATGCAAAATAAGTATCGTTATTCATATTTAATATCAAAGAAAATTATGAATATTTAAACTAGCAGATGCCCGTGCGTTGCTATGGGAGTCTTCAAAATTTCAAACGCATAAGAGTATGAAAAAATAATAAGTCAAAATCATCCGACAAATAAATTTTAACTCAAGCTTAACAATATACTATTCTGAGCCACACTAAAATAAATAGTTAGCTTCATGAGCATATCCCGTGTTTAAAGGACATCATGCAGGTCATAGCAAGGCCTTGTTTAGTTTGCAAAATTTTTGGCGAAATAATACTATAGCATTTTCGTTGTTATTTGACAATTAGTGTCCAATCATAGTCTAATTAGGCTTAAAAGATTCGTCTCGTGAATTTCGTCTAAACTGTGTAATTAGTTTTATTTTTTTATTTATATTTAATGCTTCATGCATGCGTCCAAAGATTCGATGTGACGAAGAATCTTGAAAATTTTTGTAAAATAAGGTGGAACTAAACGGGGTCCAAGCTTCATGAGCATATCGCTCTCGCAGTATGCATCCAGTGACCTCTCCTTGATATGCCCAAGCAGTTTTGTTGCGGCATTTGCGTACTTTTCAATCATCTTCCATTTGGGGAATGAGCTTTAAGCATTCATGAGATGCTTAGTGTTACCAATCAAATTAGTGCCATCAAATTCAAGCCCAACTTTCCCACCACAGTGCATGTGTTCACCTCGTCCAATCCTGCTTGTTCGGCAATAAGATTTTCCATTATTGGCATCAACTATCTGAAAGATCTTACATTATTAAAATTCATCGAAATTCTTTATTCAAGACTGGTTCTAAAAATCTCTTGAATCTCTTGAGAGCACAGACAAGATAGGCATAAGTATCTAGGAGATTTGAGTAAATAGTAGCAGGAAATGGCATCGGGACAAGTACACTGTCATTGAAGTAACTGAAGTAACATATTTGCTCTTTTGCTCTGTGGCTTCCCTGAGAAGAGCCCCCTAGAAAACATGTGAAAAAGATCATTGATCATATCTCACTACTTAGCATATAGCTGTATTGTCATCATTTTCTTAGTTTTAACAATATTTAGATCAGGCCTGGACATATTTCAACTATCATCAGTCTCAGCAGCACACAGAGAAACATTAGTCTGCACCCTTATAGCATGACAATTTATTGTCCTCAATGTGTTAATTTAACCTGACAAACAAATAGACATATTTTTTAATGCATTTGAGGCAAGTCTAGTGCTATACCACTATGTTTTACAAGTTCCAATAGGTCTATGCAGTTGCAGTCCTGCCATTCCTGGTAAACTAATTGAACTATTTTTTTTTTCAAAACAACCTAGCGTCTGCCTTTGCCTAAAACACAAGCACAAGACACACACTGGTATATTGTCAAACAGGAGGTGAGCAAGCAAGTTACCAGCACAGGTGATAGATTCCGCTTGCCATTGGTCTTATTCGCCTACAACTTGGCATCCCCCTCCTGTGTGGTCCTCTGCTGCTTCATGATAAAGGCAGGGAAAATGATGGTTCTGTTCACCAGGGATTCAAGCTGGTCAGGACAGTGCATGAGCAACAGTACACCACATGTTGATGCTTGGAAGAAAGCAAACCTGGGCTCACTGTGTTGCAGATGGACACGCTTATTGGGGCTGCCGCCTTCTTGAATGATCTTGGAGAGTTGAGATGAACTATCAGCCGTGCGCTAGCGTTGTGGTGGATCTTCCCTGAGACCCCAATTTTTTGAATTTCGTGGTTCTCCTTAATATGAAGCAACCTGTTTGCAAAGCTAAAAGATAGATTAGGCAAAGTTCAAAGCACCACCCATATATGAAAGAAAACAACCAGAAATTTTTTTTTAAAAAAACTTGCATTAATAGCTATACAGTAACTTGTACTCTTTGCCGGACCTTTTTTTGACATATAAATCGCCCCCCTCTAGGCAAAGTTCAAAGCATCAGATTTCTCTTACAAATTTGCAAGTACAGTGAGTGCTGAATATATATATCTCGTATTTCTCCAACCAAATGATTGCTGTCAAGTCCAATTAGCATGTTGTGGTGCTCACTGCTCAGTTGTGTACAAGCCATTTATGGCAGCAAACATTGACAAACAAGAAAAAAATACAATGGAATACTATGATATTTGAGGATGGAAATTAATTAGCACCAGGGGAAAAGTGTTCTGATTACCTCCTTCCCTAGCTGTGCAATCTGATCTGCCTTCCTTCATGTCTCCATTGCCTGAAATGAACCGCGACAACGGTAGGAAATTCAACGATAGAAATCCTGAAACACAAATCCTACCTACCCACCCACCACAAGCACCCACTCGAATAAACAACATTATGCAAGAGAAGTACCTTTTCATAGAAGTGTCAATGCACTCATGCTTCACCCGCTGTGACACCACCACACTGCCTTTACATTGTAGCCACCTGCATTGATCCATGATAGAATGCAAGGTCCTTTACATCCTAATAACTAATACAAATATGGTACCGCAGCAACACCTAGAAAATACTTTTAAGTGTAGCACCTCCATCTCATGCATACAAGTGCCATTTTTTAGCATTGACTAAAATCAATTCAAAATGTAATAGCATCAACATTGGTTTTCAACTCACAAAATAAGAGTACATAAACCTCAACTTCTAATTCAAGTGCCTAACCAAATTTGTAACTGCATGTATATACTCCAATCTCAGATATTTTCACAAGCTGCCCAATGTTGGATGCCTTCACTTGCCTAATGGTGAGCAGAGTCACCTTTGAGAATGCATTGATGTAAGCCTCACTACAATGCCAAAAAAAATCAATTTTAGATAAACATCAATGGAGCTTGATAATTGGATAGACAGGAAAATTATTGGACTGCATTTCCAGTTGGAGGTACATAATTAGGTAGCTCCAAGAATAATTAGGTAGTATAACAAGAATCCAATATTTTTGACTGTCAACAAGAATCCAATATCCTTTTATATCCACAGAAGTGCAAGCTTGTAGGACATTTTATATTCCCTTGAGTCACTGATGGTAATGTTCCAAACATGCTCTATCAAACCAGATTAAATGCTTAGATTCACAGAACATTTCATAGGGTGAAAAGCTTATTTAAATTATTCATGGGTTTAGTCTGTAGGGAAAAACCATTTAATGTATCTCTAAAAATCAAAGTTGCCGTCAGGAACCAAATGAATCTGAAATTGTAAGGGCAAACTTAGCGGTTTATGTGATGAAGAAATGCTTATAGATAAAATGAAGATAAACGTGTGCATTCGATTAACGAAATTATCAGAACAATGTCTGCAAAAGTACGATCTACTTGTAGAAAGGAACAAGAAGAATAATGGATCACAGTGAACATTGACAGTCCAATGTATGAGATGTGATCATAGGTAAACTTAGCTATTTATCTGAATTCTAAAATGTCAGTAATACAAGCTGAAAATTGGTGTTTATTGATAGACCTTGCACGCTGAGATCGAACTATGGAGAGGAAACTAACCAACACAACAATATCCTGCCATGTCCAAGAACTGCGTTCTGTTCCCCATCTCCAATCTCCACCAGCTCCAAAATGATCGAGAACAGCTCTTTTAGTCTCGTACCCTGAAATTATTTCCTCAAGATATCATCAAAGTTAGAATGCTTAGGGAACTCAATCACATAAATTTCAGTTAATTGGTCAACAAGAGATACAGATAACTTTAAGTCAATTGGTCAGACATATGAGCGACCACTCCAGCAAAGCAGCATCCTCACCTGGTGCGCAGGCCATGATAGGCGTGTTCGGTGTCATTAACGAAGAGGAGCATGGTGGAGAAGCCCTTGACCCCGACGGCGACGGCCGCCTTGGGGTAGCGCTCCACGCGGAGCTTTGCGAAGGCGACAGCGCTGCCCATGGCGCGCAGCGCGGCGGAGGTCTCGGCGAACCGGAGCTGTGCGCTGCGCTCGCACCATGGCGCGTACCCAACCAGCAGCAGCTCCGCGTGGTCCTCCACGGTGCGGCGCGTGTTTTGTTGTCGAGCGCCAGCACCATCGACTGTGCCTTTCGCGCCGCCTCCGCGGCACCCCGACATCGCCGCCCACCGCATTCAGCCCGCCCTGTTCTGCCATCGTCCAGGTCTAGCCGCGTTGCCATATACCAAACTCATTGCAGCAGTCATCTTGCAGGCAACGTCAGGCTGGTTCTGACGGAGGAGGGTTCGATGCGGTAGCGAGGAGGGGAAGATCTAGCAGCGCCGTTGTGTACTCACCCCTCTCTCGGTATTCACGGAGCGACGGGGCGGCGTGGCCGCGTGACTGGGCAGGGGCGGGGCGGCGAAGTCGGTGGGAGAGGGGCGGCCGGGCGGGGCGGCATGCGGCATGCGGCAACAGGGGAAGCATCGGGAGCGGGGCATCGGGAGCGGAGGCGCGCTGCGGAGGAGTGTGCCGGCCTCAGGCGCCCGCACGTCAACTGCGGCGGCGCCCCAGCAGCAGCACCAGGCAATTGCGACAGGCCGTTATCTGCCAGCCACCGCCCACCAGCGCCCATTGCAATATGTGAAATATCTGATTTACTTTTTAAACATAGAAATAAAATATTTTTTAACATATTTTTAAAATACATGAAACACTTAAAACATTTGTGTATAATCATAGCAACATATGCAACATCCAGATCCACTTTTGCAGCATCCATATGAAATAATTGCAACATAAGTCTAAAACATCTTAAAACACTTGAAAACATACGCTTGAAACATGTGTGTATAACCATAGCAACATATGCAACATCCAGATTAAACATTTGAAGCCTATGTCTGAAACACCCGAAACACTTGAAAACATAGGCTTGCAACGTGCTATATTGTCATTGCAATATATGCAACATCTCAAATATACTTTTGCAACATCTGGGTGAAACACTTGAAACATGAGTATGCAACGCCTGAAACATTTTGAAACACGCGTTGCCGGCAGCCACGACCTGTCTGGTAGGGAACTCGGTAGTCAGCAAGCTCGCGTCAGGTGTTTCACCGCTCGCGCTTGCGCCAGTCAGTGTGGCCCATCGCTGCTCTGCGATTCTCCCGCGCCTGCTCGCGACCCAGGCGCACGCCCGTCCGCCTGGCCCTGCTATTGCTACTCTAGCGCCGTTGTTCGTTCGGCCACAGTCATCAAGCGTCGTCCACTCGGGGAATGGGGCAAGGCACGGACACCATGGGGTGCGGCGTGGTAGGGAGAGGGCACGACACGATATCGTCCCGTTCGGCTTGCTGAATCTTAGCTGAAAAATACTGTTCTGACTAAAATGTTGTGAGAAAAAAACACTGTTCTAACTGAAAAAAAAACCGAACAAACTGGATATGGGGTAAACCGAACGGAACCAACTAAGGAAGGAGGCGTGGCGGAGCGGAGTGGGGCAGGCATGAGCGGCCACACCGCGGCGGACGAGCGAGCAGACGCACGGGCCAGAGAGAGTGCGGCCCTACGCGGCCACATGTCGGCCACATGTCTTACGCCCCCACTTCACCATGAACAGTGAACGGGTGCAGTTTGATCTTTTTAGGAGTACATAAATACACTAAATAACTACTACTGAACTCTTTTCGATCGGATAGTCGGTCGAAACTTGAAAAACATCATTGTCAAAAAAAAAACATCCATCTAAGTATGTGATCATATTTCTGCGCTAGTGTATTTTTTTAGAGAAATATTTACCTCCACTAGTAGTAGTGGTAGAGTGGCGTGGAGCAAGCGAGCGGTTTGTGCACTAGTAGAGTGGACCAGTACTCGTGCTCGTGCTCGTGCTCGTGCTCGTGCGGTCGCGCTTCGTGGAGAGCTCATGTGGATTTGGGGCTCACGTGCTACTAGCTAGCCTACTCGTGAGGCAGTGGCGGAGCCACAGATGCCGGGTATGCACCGGGCACCGGCATACCCTGCAAAACCGGCAGTAAGTAGTATATATATATACTATCTAATATAGTGTATATGTTGTATTTATAAAAAAAATGAAAAATGAAAAAGTATATCTGGACATCATCACTTGACGACGGAAGGCCCATGTAAGGTGGTCCACTCGGCAAGTGAACCATACGGTATGCGCGCTCTGAGTCTCCGACTCTGTACATGACGTTTCAATTTCCTAATCTTAGTACGGAGCCACGGAGGAACACACCGTCTGCGCCTGATGCCATGACCGGGTGAGTCGAGTCGGTGCCGCCCTGGCTCCTGGTGCCTGCCGGCTGCCGCCCTCCGCCCTACTCTGAATTGGAGGATCGCCGTCTATTTCTCACACGTCTCGTCTGCAATATTTACGATAATTTAACATTTGCTCTTCAGATTTTTATAGAAAATTATTGTTTAGCCTTTTGAATGATTGTCTAGTCACTTTCGTTGAGCGATATATATTTTTTAAAGTTGATGAAAATGATATAGTCAAGACATTCGTGTCCCTTCGTAAGCGTCGAATAAACCAGTGAGAAAAATAGCATTGTAAGTCTCTGGTACTCTTTTATGTCTATATTTAAATTATTTATATTATATTTAGTAGATGGTTTGAATCTAATCCTTGAATTTATCGAATCATATTGTAAAATTTACAATTATTATCGAATTGCTAAAATAGATTTACCAAATTATATTCCTAATTCTAGATTCGCCACTGGTGAGGTATGTGGTCACGCGAACGCGGGTACGGCAGTGCAGGCGTTCTGCCGAGAACATCCGAACTCCCGAAAAGCGAACACAAGCAGTGTGCAACGGTCGCGGCGGTGCGTCTCATCCCCGCAATGACACGGCCTCCTTGGTTCTTGAACATCACGTATGTGAACCTATAAATATTTTTTTTCTTGATTTTTACATTGGACTTGCACAGCAGCTGTCCTGCTGCCGGCTAGGCTGGCTGCTCTCCCTCACAAGTTACTGTAGCCGACCCCTAGGGCCAGCCAGCCGCAACAGCTGAAACCCAGCAGCCGAACACGGATTCTTGAACGTCACGTAGGTGAACCTACATTCTTTCCTTGATTTTTACACTGAGATTGCAAAACTCAGATAAAATTAGAGATGCAAACTGGATAGCCTACTAACCCAGCCATGTGTAAACTTAATTTTATGGTTGCTCATGGCAATTTATAAAATAAATCTATATTCGGGTTCATGAACTAGCCCCGCTTATATTCCCAAGATAAAATGATGAACAATGTATAGAACAAAACATGACAAAGAAGTCAAAATTTCCAGTTCAAGCTGTCCATGTCATGGCTTGCAGCCTTGCACAAGCTTAAGGCTAAGGCTACTGTGAATCTGTGATATGCCACGGACTGTTTTTTTTTCTTGGGTAAAGTCTCGTGCAAGACTGAAGGGTAGTGTGATATGCCATCGCCTAGATAAGACTGAAGGCTGGTGTGATATGTCATGGCTCATGGGAAAAGAGTACATATAACTAGAAGTTATCTCCAATGATCCTGCGCACAAGTTACAAATATGCACATTAGTTCATATTAAACAAAGTAACAGAAATGTCAATGCTGACCTCTCAATCATCACTAAAAGGGTACATAGTCTCATTTACACAAGCACAACTCAACTCCCGTTTTTTCGTTCAGAAACATCACATAAGCGTCAACTTCATAGATTGAAAACCACCAAGTTTATCGCAAACATACAAACCACTAAACCACTAAAAACAAGAAAGATTAACTAAATTCAAGGATGAATCTCAAAAGAAGTACATGAACAACAAGGATGGCGAGTGCAAATGAGTGATCCTTCAGGAAAGAAAAAACATCACCTTACAATTACAACCTTACACATGCAAACATGCCCTTTCATGTCCTTAGGCGTGAGATCCAGTAATCATTAAATATAAAATACTCCATATTGTTCAAGGAGACTAACTAAAGTGTACTAAATAGGAATGACCGAAATGTGTTTTTTGCGGCTGATAAGTTGGTTGATGCTGTTTTGTTGCGAGAGAAATACATTGTACAATGGTAGATAAGCCAGGCTGATAAGTTGAAGCCAACATTGATGTTTCCTTTATTTCGATTTCACGAGATCAGATTAGAAGGCAGTTGGCATTGATTTTTTTTTAGAGGCCTGGGAGCCTGCAAAGTGCAATCAACTTCCGTCAATTCCAGACCCACGGCCCATCAACATTTAGCAAGGCCCGCCACGGCCCCAAGGTCAAACCCCAAAATTCTCCGTTTCCCACCAGAAAGGCAAAAAACCAAACCAAAACTTCGGACGCGATTGCCATTCCCACGCGCGCTCCGCCCCGCCCCGCCAAAGGCCAAAGCCACGAAACGCCTGCGCTGCTCGATCCGCCCTCCCGCTCCTTGGCCAATAGGAGGCGAGCCATCTCCATCCAACGGCTGGCACCATCCCTCTCGCCCCTCACGCGGATCGCGACCCCATCCGACGCCTCCCAGCTCCTCTCCCGCCTCTATATTATCATCCCCTTCTCTCCCAGCCCGTCCCCATCCAAGTCACAGGCTCGCTCACCCCACCAACCCGCAAGGAAAATTTCCCCAATTCCGCCGTCTCCGCTAGAGAAGAGGCCGACGATGTCGGGGCGCGGCAAGGGCGGCAAGGGCCTGGGCAAGGGCGGCGCCAAGCGTCACCGGAAGGTGCTCCGTGACAACATCCAGGGGATCACGAAGCCGGCGATCAGGAGGCTGGCGCGGAGGGGCGGCGTGAAGCGCATCTCCGGGCTCATCTACGAGGAGACCCGCGGCGTGCTCAAGATCTTCCTCGAGAACGTCATCCGCGACGCCGTCACCTACACCGAGCACGCGCGCCGGAAGACCGTCACCGCCATGGACGTCGTCTACGCGCTCAAGCGCCAGGGCCGCACCCTCTACGGCTTCGGCGGCTAGGTCAGCCGCGTCCTGCTGTCGCTGTGTGGTTGTAGTGTTGCTGCAGTTCGCGAGTTGTGCCTGTCGCTGTGGTTCTAGTATTGCTGCAATTCGCGAGGTGTGCCTGGGTATGGAAAATGCAGCTACTGTACCACTGGACTGGAGCAAGCGTGTTGCGTATGGTGTCTGTTTAATATTGAGTCTTATCCTGAAGAAATGGCAATGATTATGACCTGTTCAGG